AGCGGAAACAAACACCACCAGCTGCAGGGTGCTGCAGCAGCAAGGAGACATCGTCTCGCGCTGCAGCGGCTAGGGGCAGCGGTGTTTGCTGCCTTCTATTATGGGGTAGCTGCATGCAGCTGCATGCAGCTGCTGCATGCAGCCCCAAACCCTAAACCATAAACCCCAAACCCTAAACCCTCGTAAACCCTCGTCAGCAACTATAAAGTAACTGGCTATAAATATCTATATCAATGCAGCTAGAAGACTGCAGGCATTAAAAAGGGCTACGCTTACTGCAGCACAGAGGGAAAAAGCCCCAAACAAAATTACAAATGCTGCGCTGCATGCATGCATGCATGCATGCATAGATTATATACATGCATGCAAACATACATAGCATGCATGCATGCATGCATGCAGAGATAACATACATGCACACAAACATACATAGCATGCATGCATGCATGCAAGCATACATAGCATGGATGCATGCATGCAAGCATACATAGCATGGATGCATGCATGCAACCATATATAGCATGCATGGATGCATGCATGCATGGATGCATGCAAGTGGAAGCCCCAAAGGGCTGTCAGTTGCCTGCACTGCGTTTGCGTTTCAGAGCTGTTTGTTCTCTGTTTTTTTTTGCTGCAGTTTTATCGCTGTCTGCTGCAGCTGTCTCCTTTTTTGTCTCCGTTTTTCTTCTTTTTCTTTCATCTGTGTTGCTGCTGTCTTTCTTTTTTTCTTTATCTTCTTGCTGCGCTGTCCTGCTGCGCTTGCTGCGGCTCTCCTCTTTCTGCTGCTGCTGCTGCTGCTGCTGCTGCTGCTGCTGCTGTCCGTTGAGCTGCTGCTTGTCATCCCCCGCCGCTTCTTTTCCTTTCTTCTCCTTAGCAGCAGCAGCTTTGTCTTTGGTTGTTTTTGCTGCTGTGTCTGCTGCTGTCTTTTGCTGCTGCTGCTGCTGCTGCTGCTGCTGCTTCTGCTGCTCTGCTGCTCTCTCTGGCGCCTTCTGTCTCTTTCCCTCTCCCTTCTTGTCTCCCTCACGGCCCCCTGCTGCGGCTTTACTTGCTGCCTTGCCCTTGGGCGTAGC